CAGACTCCCTCCCATGACCCTGAGCCCTCTGACACTGCTTCCTCTACAGTCCCCTCCATCCCATCCTCCTTCCCTCATCTACCCCAGCCGCGGGGACGCCTCCCAGTCCCCGGGACGGGCCAAGTTCTTTCTCATCTGGTGGCTTGGTGGTGCCCGCTGTCCCCTCCATCAGGGTCCTCGTTCTCGGCTCTTCCGCAGTCACTCTATCACCTCCATGGTGCCTAGCACTATAAGCTTTTCAAAATGTTGCCTTTCCCCCTTTGCCATGCCAGAAGCGCGAGGGTGTTTTTTCCCTGCTTTCACTGTGAGATCCTGGTAGGGCCCCTGGGGGTAAAACTTACAAAAGGATGGGACCCCCTTGGAATTTCTAACTCTCTGGCTGGTCCATGTGGAGCCCCCAGCAGTTCATCAACTAGAGTTCAGTATGTTCCTATTCATTGGCTACAGTCCTGGGCCTTCTCTCCGAAAGTTGTGATACTCTGTGTCCACCTGTCTGTCTCTCCAGTCTTGGAGTGAGCTGTGTTCCCTGGGATCTCAGTTCCCCCTTTGGATCTTAGATTGGCTTACTTTCATTTTGTTTAACCTTTTTTCTTTATAATAAGGGTAAAGGTGACAATGTCTGCTCTTTACATGTTGGACCAGAAACCAGTGATGTTTTTTATTATGATGTTTTGTCTGCCTCTCTACTTGACAGAGACCGTCTCCATTTTATTCACTTGGTTTCCTTGAGATCCAGAGTATAGGTTTGCTCATAATAGGTGCTTGAAATTCTATGCTTGTGGATGGATGTGATAATCTGGGTACATTACTTCATGTCAGATTTTTTTTAGGTAACAGTTGAAATAGATAATCTCTGAGAAATCCCTTCTAGTATATAAATGCTATGATAATGAAGCATGGGGAGTTTCCTTGCAAAATGTGACCTGAAGGATAATTTACCCAACTATGAAGTCTACTAATATAAATGAAATGGTCCAATTCGCTAGCCAGTCTCCTTTTGAAATTTTGTGTGTGCAGGACGACCTCGACCACCAAATGAGGGGGTCCCTCAGCTCCTAGGGACTGAGAAGACTAGGGGCACCTGGCTGGCTCAGTCGGTAGAGCAGGCAACTCTTGATCTCAGGGTGTTGTAAGTTTGAGCCCCTCATTGGATGTAGAGATTACTGAAAAATAAAAATCTTAAAAGAAAAAAAAGAACAAAAGGAACTAGAAGCCCTTTTTTGTATTTCCACTGGAAAGAGTGTATTTTTCTATAATGAAGAACATGGACTCAATAATGCCATTTATTAATTTTTAAAGTGCGAGAAAGAATTACTTCTGACTGCATGCTGTTTCATTTGAATGACACGATATTTCAAAACACAAAACGAGGTTATCATGAGGAAGAAAATTATTGAGCTTCTTGCTGATTTAAAAGGGGGTCAGTCTGGGAAACTCAGGAAGTGGAATTTCAGCATTAAACTCCTGTGACCCTCCCCCACCAAGCCAAAACCTACATCTTGTTCATCTGAACTGTGTTTGTCCCTCTTTGGGGGCCCACATGCTGTGAACACCTGGTGATTTGACCTGCTAATGATCCTAACAGCAAAGACCTGGTAAAGGCATCCTGATTATTCATAAGGAATCCATACTTCCTCCTCCCCCAGACCCTGGCAATTGAACAAAAATAGCTCCAGCTTTCTTGGGCTCCTGGTGAGTAGATGGCCAGACCTGGTCAACGGGTATCTTTTAACCCAGGGATGGAAATATGGCCAGCCCTGAACAATAAGAGGCCGACTCAGAATTTTAGATGGAAGTGTTTGCAAGAAAGTTGTCTCTGTATTCGATCAGAAACTGGCAGGTTGCAAACCTATAGCAGTTTGCAGCCGTTTTGCCACTTTATAACCAAGGGTGTCTGAGGCTGGGCCCCCCAGGAAGAAGACTGGGGCAAAGGTTTATGTGCAAAAGGTTTATTTTGCAGGTGTTCCTGAAGGGCATGGCTAGGAGAATAGGGAAGTGAGACGGGAAAAGGGAAGTAAGCCCAAGCAAAGTGCATTAGTGAGCGGGATACTGCTGTGGGCAACTGGGGCTTAGTCCTACTGGAGATATCTAGAGAAAAGTAGAGGTCATGGCCCAAAGTTGTCCCCTCCAAAGATAATCATGTTTGAATCTACTAATTCTGCCCTTCTTTGGTCGAGGACTGCTCCCAGGACTGTTGGGTCCCTGGCCAACAGCCTGAACCTGCTCCCTTGCCAGAGAAAGCTCCCGGGCTGAGACTCACAAGAACTGCATCTGGGTGCGGTGCTAAGTGTGGAAGAGCTGTATACAGGGACCCATAGGATCTTCCGCAGAGACCTTTCCTGAGAACCAAGCCAGCCCAGATCACGCAGAGGACTGAGTCCTGACCTCACCATCTGGCACCTGCATCCGGCACATGTCAGCTAGCACTGTGTCCCTGGACTTCCCTTTATGTGGATCAGTTTCTCCTCCTTTCTAAACATGGTTTGAGACTGGTTTCTCTTCCATGTAATGAAAAGATCCTGATGGGTATGCAGCCTTTCATCCCATCTTACAAGTACTTGAACACTTATCTCCCTATATCTCCCTTAGGAGTAGAATCTATAAAGAATTTACTTTTGAGTCCTCCATAATATGTTACAAGAAATACTTGTTAAATGAATGATGAGTGCTGAAAGGACCCACCAAAATGTCATACTAATCTGTATATAATTAGCCCATTTTAAGGCACATGGCAGAGGGTAACATTGGAAGAAAGCATCTGGGGCAGGTTTATCCAGACGCTGGCACCCTCTAAGGCAGAGGTGGGGGTGCTGGGGATGGCAGGTTCCCTTGGGACTTCACCTGAAAATGTCCAAGTGTTAAGTTCCTGCTACCCAGGAATATAGAGCTTCTTTGGTTCTATTTTTTCCAAAAGCCTCATCTCCAGCTTTTCATCCATTCCTCAGAGCTATACCTTGGCTTCCAATCAAGTCTTTATTTTTCCTCAATTTGGCCTGATTGTGCAGTTCAGTCTCTATTACTTGCCACCCCAGAACCCTAACCAGCACAGCAAATACAAAGCCCCACCATCCCTGCACAAACCAGGGTCCCCTCGTCTCAGTTCCATATGCTGTCTCTAGTGATGACAACACGGGGGATTGTGTCATCAAGCCTGCTTCCCTGCAAGATGCTGACTTTAACAGATTAGAAATGTTCCCGGCACATCCCACGCTTCTGCTAATAAATGATTCCATATCTATCATGAATGAATTTTTCAAGTCTTCCGTTACTGAGCTGTGTACCTACTCACGAAGTACATTTCCAGGCGATTTTGTCTGAATTACATGGTTAATTGCCTCATATTTCCAGCTCATGTTACAGGCCCCCTGAGTTAGAACGAGGGGTAGAAGTACCATGTATCATTTCCTATACAGAGGACAAATTCATGGATAGAGCAATGTGCGTACTAATGCTGAATGCTAATTTGTTTCTAGCTTCCAAGTATAACTAAGTTTAAAAAAACAAACCCAAAAAGATAGAGGGGTAGAAAAGTCAGTCAGTCATCTAGATTGATATTTTAGCTTCCAAATTGTATATTCTTTCATTCATCAATTTTTTTTCATCAAACCATGCCCGTGTGCATGGCTGTGTGCTGGGAAAGGTAGAGAGGGTAAATGCAGAGACGTGCTGTCACATTCACTCTGAGGCTGTGAGATGTGTGCCTACCCATTAAAAACCAGAAACAAGAATAGGAGCCAAACAATAAAGTTACAATACAAAGCAAGATAAGATAAATGGCTTCCAGAAGTTTTAGCAATAAATCCTATGAGAGTTCATAGGAAGGTAAGTTTAGCCATTGAAGCTGAGATTCATGATCAGAGTTGTCTCCAAAGGCAGGACCTGGATGGATTGTAGAGGGGTGGGCATCCTTTGGGTGAAGCAGAGGGTGACATCATGCCAGGATTATGAAATTTCCAGGCACAAGGAAAGTGTCTCTTGTAAGTGGAGCTCCTTGGCTCTAAAGCCCCCAGCTGTCTTATATGTATTTGGAGCAGAGTTGAGGCTTGTCTCTCTCCCCTACTGCAGTGGTCTTGACAGGTCTCACAGTAGTCTCGAATCACAATCGGCCCGTCTCACATGGGTCGTACCATATTCCCCACCCTCTGCAGGTGAGCCTAAGCTTACCCCAGTCATGGCTACAGCAGGAAGCAGAGGGCACGCTCAAAGCAGTAGCTACAGGAGAGTGTCGTGTAATAAGGGGGCTGGTTGCAGAGGTAGGAGCAGGAGGGACACAGCCAGGCCTGGAATGGCACAGGGGTGGCAAGGGCGGGGGTAGGGGGTGAGCTGGTTTAATTCAACAGCTGCCACAACTACTGGGCTAAAGGGGTGAGGTGGATTCCAGGCCCTGGAGGCGGAAGGGGCTGCCTCCCCTGGGGGACAGTGTGATGCACACCTTCCAGACCTCATCCAGTGACAGTGTCCTGCCCAGTAATGTCCTGCCAAGATCACACCCTTTCCTGCTGCAGCCCACACCCGGTGACCAGCACATGTGGGAGCACCCTGGCCCAGTGCTGCCGGACTCTGAAGAGCAGGTCTAGCTTCAGATCCCCTGGGGGGACTGGCCCAGACTGTCATTGGGCCTGTGTCATCAGGGGCCACACTCGGTCACAGGGGCCTGAGGCAGCTCTGCTGGGCCTCAGCTCTCATGACGTCCTTCTTGAGCAGTTGACTTACATGAGTCCTGCCTCAGCACCCCCTCTCTGAATCGAGGGGTTCAAAGCTGGCCCAGCCCTCGGTTATGGAGAGTGGCTGCTGAGCCTCCATCAGTCGGCCTCCTAGTTCTAGGTAATTGTGTAAATTCATGCAAAGTGCCTGGTGTGGGCCACATACGCGTGAGCAAAGGTGGGCACGGTCTCTTCCCTTCTAGAGCCCGCAGTGGACTGGGGGAGCCACACATTACCCAAACACTCAGGTAAATCGCGCACGTTGCACCTGTGATGTGTGCTCTGCTGGTGCCTTACCTGGTGGTGCTCCGGAATCCTATCCTCATGGGGTGGGTCCTAGTCAGAGATGCCAGGGAAGCACCCCCCGCCCGCGGAGGAAACCAACTTTGGGTGCAGGGAGAGATCCAGAGGATGATTCAGAGTTACATAACTCAAGACAGAGTTCAAGGCAGAGCCAGCTGCTGTGCAGAGGCCTCCGGGGAGGGGGTAAGACAGGGACAAGGGACAAGGCGCAGAGAGGAGGTCCCACGGAGCCGGAGCCGGTGCTGTGGCCCCATACGAATGTGGGAGGTCCCGTGTACAAGAGCAGCAATTCAGGAGAGGGAAATGAAGCTGTAAGGGAGAAGCACAACTCAGAACTTGATGTGGGTAGAAACACAGTAGTTCTCTCTTACCGTGGTTTCGCTTTCCTCTTACCTGTGGTGCAAGCAGATGACTCTCCGGACAAATGTCACCCGCTCCGCCGCAGCCTCATGCTACGTGGCAATGCCTGCACCGCACGTCCGCACGTGGGTGTTTTCTCATCTCACGTCCTCACAAGAAGGAGAGGGGTGAGCTCAGTACGATAAGATATTGTGAGAGAACACCGTCACATCACCTTATTACAGTATATTGTTAGACTTGTTCTATTAATTATTAGTTATTGTTAATCTCCTACTGTGTCTCATTTATAAATTGAACTTGATCATAGGTGTGTGTATCTATGGGAAAAAGCATAGTATATGTTGGGTTCAGTACTCTCTATGGTTTCAGACATCCACTGGGGGTCTTGGAACGTATCCCCCATGCGTAATGGGGAACAACTGTAATCCCACAGTAGTCATTGACCTTTTCTGAAGATTTCCCATTTACACTAATCGGGACTACCATTGACAAAGGCTTTTCTGAGCCCTCTTTTCAACTATGCCTCCTCCTTGGGTCTTTGGACTGCTGAGTTTGGCTTTAGCAAGAAACCTGCTAAGGCAGTTTAAAAGAGAATTCCATGCCCCACCCCCTTGATAATTGATTACCCTGGCCTGCCTTCAGCAAGACCCCTATTAAATTAGATTAGCAAGAACTCACGTATTCTTGATGTTTTCTCTTAGTAATGTTCTAGCCACCAACTGCTCCCCTCTTCCTCCGCTCCTTGGCTATAAAATCCCCAGCCGTCACTACTGTATTTAGAGTGAAGTTAAGGCTAATCTCTCTCCCTTATTGCAATAGTCTTGACACCTATCACAATCATCTAAAGTCTTCCTGCCATTTTAACAAGTGTCAGAATAATTTTTTTCTTCCACACATCCAAGGCTGTGATTTAACTTTCATCAGATCCACGTCAAATTAATCTTGTCATAAGCTTCATTTGATTGCAACATTGAATTGTACACGTTGGGGCGTTCTTTGTCTCTGTCATTCGTTGGTCATGTTGAATGGATCTCTACTCACAATTTGAAAAAATTAGACCAGGTACCACTTGGTACTCATCAGCTTAGAAGTGAATTTTGAAGTAACAGAAAATAGATGGATTATTCAAAGGTGATTGGAGAAAGATCAAATGAGAAGATCAAAACCCAAGCCTTGGAGAATGCCCATGGTTAAGTTCAGCATATGAAACTCAGGATTAGGAGAAGGAAGCATTTCAGGAAGAGCAGACTGTATCCCAATGTCATATATACCAGGTCAGTGACTGAGATGGCCATATTGATCAGCATTTTTTTTTTAATTGAAAGTAACAGGGACCCAAGTATAAGTGACTTCAGCAAAAACCTTAACTTACCAAATAAAAGAATTCAGAGGGATTTCTTCAGAAATAGTGGACCTAGTGACTTCACATATGACATGAGGACTCAAGCTCTCTACACTGCTTAGCCCTACTTTGCTAAAATGAGAGTGAGGGAATGCTTGGTATACCAGAAACCAACAGGTTCCTGAAACTAGGAAACCCTCCTGCTTGGAGGTAGCCTGTCTTCACATCATGGCACCCAGCCACTCTAGACTTGTATCCTCTCAACCCCAAGTCAAGCCTCTTCAGAAAATAGAGCCTCCATCTTTGCTACCATTCTGAGAAAAACCATATAAATGGGTCACACTGGAAGACCTGGGTTCTACCAGTTATGAACCAGCTGTGCTGGATAAGAGAATACAGTGTTCCAGGTACCAGTCTGAGTAACATGTCTACCATAAAGACAAAGGCAGGGTTAGGCTTCACGAGGGCTGGTTTTCCAAGGGAAATTCTGTCACCAAAATATGAGGAATTAGAGAAAAATAATAAATGTCTTCTTTAAAAATGGAATAGCCAGATATTTAAATCTGGAGCATTCTTCATGAAACCCCATGAGACACCATATTTAAATATGTAGATAAAACATCTGCATAGTTGAGTCAATTGTGCCTTTTCTTCTAGGGGTCTTGTCGTCCTGGAATCACAGCCTCTATTATCCCAGTAATTCTGTTCCTTCTGAGCTCTAGAAATAATGTCAACAGAGCCACAATTGGCGAGCTTTCGGGAGATAAAGATCTCCCCCCGCCCCCACCCCGCTGCACTCATATGCAGTGCTATTCTTGGAAGAAGGATTGTGAGAACTAAAAATGAATCATTTTGGCAAACGAGGGTGGATTAGTACAATTCAAATGACTTTCAGGATAATGGCACCTCCTCCCCCAAGTGGATCTGATAGAGGTGCAATGTTCTGTGCTCTAAGACTTACCAGTGATTCAGGCTCTCGCTGAACACAAGTCACGTGACCGACTCATGAGTAAGGCGATTGTCTGCTGCGTGCTTTATAGACTTTATTCTAGAGGAACAAGCAGAGAATGTGGGAGGAAGCTGTGGTACATTGAAAAGGCCAAAAGGAATACCTGCCTTTCTGTTTTTTTTGTTTTTTTGTGTTTTTTTTGGCCTTTTTAAAGCTGGGTGTGCTCATCTCTATTGATAGGTAACTTGGTAAAGAGTGATAGGAGTTTACTAGTGTCAGGAACCTGTTTTTTCCTATCCAACACCCATTCCCCATCTTGCCACGTTAGCATCTCCCTGATTTTGTACAGGTATGAGGAAGCGATAGCTTCAGGGAGGCTAGGTCCTCCTCAGTCTTATGATGGAGTCATGGTATGACATAGACTACTGGTGGCCAATATTTATGCTTCCACCACCACATCATTTTCCGTAGTAATAGAAATCCCCATAGCTGTGCAGAGGAAAGACATTTCTCAGCTTCTGTTACACCAAAGTAAGGCTGTGTGACTAAGTTATGCCCAGTGGGAGTAAACAGATGTGGTGCATACAGTTTGTGGAAGTGTTGTTCATAGGAAGGGATTTTGTCTTTCTGCTGCTTTTTTTCCTTCCTCCATGCTGGCATGAGGACTGGAGGACTGGAGCTGGAGTGGCCATGTTGGGCTGTGAAGCAACGTGGGACAGAACCATCGAGGAGATTAGCAAGAGAGATTCCTGGGCAGCCTGGCCAGACTTCCAGATGTAAAAGTCAACTCCTGTCTTTCATATGTGATATGAGGTTTCCATTTCTTTCAAGCAAATGTAACTCTTACTTACATACATGCTAATTCTTCGCTCCCATGCTTGATTCAGCCTTGAGCATGTGAATTTATTCTCAACAAGGAGATATAATGGGACATCCAATGGGAGTCTACTTTCTTACTCTTCAAGAGTGAGACTTTAGACAAAAAGAAGCTCCCTTTCCCTTTCCTGTCTTGTTTTTGTTTAATGTGATGCTGAACCTGTAGCAGTGACCTGGGGATGCTGCGTGGACCCAGCCCAAGGCGGAGGGCAGCCGGCGTGAAAGAACCTGAACCCTTGGTGTCATCATCAAGCCATTTGATGAATCTCCCCAATCCCCCTTGCCCCCAGGGACCCATCTTACATCTAGAATTCCTATTACAGGAGATTGTGTCTTTCCTTTACCTAAACAAGTACTTTCCCTGTGTCTTCTCTCTTGAAGCTGGGAGCATTCTAACAGCTACATCAGTCCATTTCCTCCTTTGCAAATCCAGGCCGGTGAGTCGGGGCGTAATTAATAACAGCAGTAAACTGGTTGGTGTCTTGGTGGTGACACTGATTGAGCATTTAGTGGGTGTGTCTTGTGTTAAGTTCTGGACTGGGACTTTATCTCAGTCCCCTCCCCAATGAGCCTCCCTATCCTTTCATTTGTCTGATGAGAAAATTGGGAGCTAGAAAGGGTAGATAGCTCATCCAAGCTCTACAAGGTGGCGAGGCTTGGATTCAGAGGCAAGGAGTCAGGGAGGTGCAGGGGCTAAGGCCCTGGCTCGGGGTCCAGCAGACCTAAGTGGCTACACGTCTCTAGGGTCTTAGGACCTTGGAAGTAAAAGGAAAAGATCGGACTTCGCGCTCATTAAGGCCCCTTTTAGGTTCTAGTCCACACATTCCTCAAATCACTGTGGAGGAGGGGCTGGGATGGTAAGTTTTTGTTTTGAAATACATACAGATTAAAAGAAAGAAAAAGAAAAAAAAAGAAATACATACAGGTTTATATAAAACTCACAGGAATAATGCCAAACATAACTCCCCTATCCATTTCACCCAGATTCCCCATTGGTGAACATTTTACCACGTCGGAGGAAGGACAGGAAGTTGGAGGAAGGATGGGAAAAGAGAGGAAGAGAGAGAGAGAGACAGAGAAAGAGACAGAAACAGAATATGCTATTTTATCCCTAAATATTTTAGTGTTTATTTCCTAGGAGCAAACTTTTTTATATACCAATAATACAGTGACCAAAATCAGAAAATTAACATTGAGACAAATACCAGCATCCAATCCAGGCCCCCAACTCAAATGGGGCTGTTTGCCTCGATATTGTCCTTTATAAATATCCTTTTTTCTCTGGTCTAGGCTCCAACCCAGGGCCAAACATTGCTTTGGGTCGTGATGGCTACTCAGCCCCGTTTGGTTGGGAACAGCTCCTCATTCATTCCTTATAGGCTTCATGACCCTGACATTTTTTCAGGAGAATGGGCCAGTTATGAGGGAGAACGTCACTCAGTTTGGCTTTGTGGGATGCTTCCTGATGATTCGATTCGGGTTACACGTCTTTGGCAACAGTGTCACAGAAAGTGCTGTGTTGTCCTCAGTGCGTGGTATCAGAGGGCACAGCGTGTCCACTGGTCCCCCCACAGGTGACATGAAGCTTGCTAACATTGATGGGGGGGAGTCTGCCAGGCTTCTCTGCTGTCACATGACCATTTTCCTCCTTATGAGTAACATCCATATGGTGGGAAGGGTCTCTGAGACTGTGTGAGTAGCTGTTTACCTATTCGTTTCAGCACCCATTGATGATTTTCAGCAAACATCAGTTACTGTGACATGGGCCACA